CCTCCAGATGCAGGAAGAGGGCCACCTGTATCATGAAGGACCCCACCCACCCAGCACACACACTTTTTGCCCTGCTCCCCTCAGGAAGGAGGTTGAGGAGCATTAAGTGTAGAACCACTAGACTGAGGAACAGCTTCTACCCTGAAGCTGTTAGACTCGTAAATATCTAACCAGGATAATCACTGTGAAAATTCACATCATGTTGCTGCTGATCTGTTTCATGCTGCTGCTGATCTGTTTCATGCTGCTGCTGATCTGTTTCATGTTGCTGCTGATCTGTTTCATGTTGCTGTGTTCATTCGTACTCATCTGCTCACACAGACTCATGTTCGTGCTGCTGTTTGGAATATTGTTTTTATTATTGGAAGTTGAAATATTTTTTTTGTTAATTAACTGTGTCTTCAATGAAAAAAAACATGTTTAAAAGTATATCAATTGTATTAATATTATTAAAGAACAGATCGTAAGTAGGGCAGCACGGTGGCACAACTGGTAGAGCTGCTGCCTCTCAGTGAGCAGGTCCCCAGTTCAAGTCGTGGTCCAGGGGCCTTTCTGAGTGGAGTTTGCATGTTCTCTCCGTGTACTCCGGTTTCCTCCCACAGACCAAAAACATGCTAAATGGTAACTCTAAATTGTCCCTACGTGTGAGTGAGAGATTGTTTGTCTTTTTGTGTCCCCGTGATGGACTGGAGACCTGTCCAGGGTGTACCCCACCCCTCACACAGTGATTGCTGGACATGGGCACTGGCGACCCCCGTGACCCAAAATGGAAGAAGCGGGTAAAAGATAATGGATGGATGGGTCTTAAGTATTTATGTTACACAAATATTTTCATTGCACTGAAGAGACTAATTGAAGATTTTTTTTAAATAAACATGAGGGTTATGAGGGAGTCCCTGAAAGTTTTTCTCCCCTGTAAGGGGTCCCTGAACCCAAAAAGTTTGAGAACCCCTGCTGTAAGCAGCCTGATCAAGAAAGCTCATCAGAGACTCTACTTCCTCAGACGGCTGAGGCGAGCTGGTCTGGGAAGCTCAGTCCTCACCTCCTTCTACAGGTGTGCAGTGGAGAGCATCCTGTGCTCGAGCATCAATGTGTGGCATGGAGGCTGCACAGCTGCAGAAAGAAAAGCTTTGCAGAGAGTGGTGAAGGCTGCACAGAAATCTGTCGGAATCAGTCTCCCCACCATCACAGACATCTACACCTCCAGATGCAGGAAGAGGGCCACCTGCATCATGAAGGACCCCACCCACCCAGCACACACACTTTTTGCCCCACTCCCCTCAGGAAGGAGGTTAAGGAGCATTAAGTGTAGAACCACTAGACTGAGGAACAGCTTCTACCCTGAGGCTGTTAGACTCATGAATCTCTAACTAGAATAATCACTGTGAAAAACCATATCATGTTGCTGCTGATCTGTTTCATGTTGCTGCTGATCTGTTTCAATGTTGATGTGTTCATGCGTGCACATCTGCTCACACAGACTCATGTTCATGTTTGTGCTGATGTTCAATGTTTTATGTTATGAGTGCTTAGTGTATATTTAGTTGATGTTTTTCTTAGTTCATATCTTAGATGTTATTACTGTTTTTCTTATACATTTTATTGTTGGATGTAGCTGGGACCCTGCGTACATGATTTCGCTCCACCACATGTACCACATGAGGTGCGAATGACAATAAAGAAACTCTGACTCTGACTCTGACTCTGTAAACAACATACACCTTGCTTTACTTCTTGCATTCGACTGCCTTCTTTGTTAAATAGTGCACAGGTGCCTGTGTTTGTGCAGCAGGTCTCATGTTGCTTCTTGTTCTTGGCATCTGTTTGGTGTACAAGAGCTGACAGAGCTGGCTGGATGTAATTGTGTTACACAGACTTTATTAAAGGAAATATATTATTGGTACCTTTGTTGTACATCAAAGAGTCATTCGTAACACAATCCAGAGATGATCGTTACACGGCATCCTTGCATATCCTGCTCTAGCGTTTTACTTTTTTTATGTGCTGGTATTGATTTATGACCTTGAGTTCCTCTTAACGTCACCAATAATGACTCGGTGCTTCTAAATCTGTCTCGACAGGAACAAGGAGCTGACGCAGCCACAGCCACTCCGCAGTTCCTGCTGGTTCATCCCTGAAAACGAGAGCGCCATGGTCAAAGGCGAAGAATCTGAGACGATGAACGGGATTGCTGGTCACTCTTCTAATCGGGAGGAGCCGCTCAGGGAGACCATGGAACTGAAGAAGGAGATCTCCCTGCTCAACGGAGTCAGCCTGATTGTAGGGAACATGATTGGCTCCGGTATTTTTGTCTCACCTAAGGGTGTGCTCATCTACAGTGCCTCCTATGGACTGTCATTAGTCATCTGGGCCATTGGAGGCTTGTTTTCGGTGGTAGGGGCCCTTTGCTACGCCGAGTTGGGAACCACAATCACCAAATCAGGGGCTTCATATGCTTACATCTTAGAATCGTTTGGTGGCTTCATTGCATTCATTCGTTTATGGACATCTTTGTTGATCATCGAACCCACCAGTCAGGCGGTCATAGCCATTACGTTTGCGAACTACCTGGTGCAGCCGCTCTTTCCAACGTGTCAACCTCCATACGCAGCATCCAGGCTCATTGCCGCAGCATGTATATGTGAGTGTGTTTAAGCTGCTTCTGTTTGCCCAGCCATGTGGAGGAACATTTGTCGAGTCATCCTCTCTTCACAGGTTTACTGGCGTTTATAAACTCTGCCTACGTGAAGTGGGGTACGCGTGTGCAGGACATTTTCACCTATGCAAAGGTGGCAGCCCTCATCGTCATCATAGTTACCGGCATTGTCAAGCTTTGCCAGGGTGAGTGGTGCCAGCGCAGTTATCGAAATAAGAGGATCAAAAGATGTGCATCCATGCTGCAACACCAACTAATAAAGTTACATCTGCTCTTAATTTTTCTTTTTTTACATGTCAGCACAATGTAAAGTCAGCTGGTCCTCATTATCTTTAAAAACCCACGTTATATTGTCATGTAACAAAAGTGTATGAATGTGATAAAGCACTGATTAGTCTTTGTAGAGATACAGTAGAGTGCTGTATGAATGGGTAAATGAGGGCACAGATTGTAGAGTAAAGCTGTTTGAGTATCTTGATCAGATAGAAAGGAGCTATATAAGTACAGTCCATTTACAATTGTGTTAACACACACCTGTCTAGAACAGCAAACTATGTTTACTGATGGTGATCAAGTAATCAATGCCGTTCATTAGCCACATCTGATTGCTTTTTCTTAAGCTTCTTAAAGTAAGTTGATTTAAGACAAAGTGAGGGCAAGTTTTTTTTATGTTATATAAAACACAACTAAATAACACTTGTCTTTTTACAATTAGCACAATAACGTCCACTTTGGCCTAATGTCAGCATCTTCTATTTTTTTCATTGGCAAGATTAGGTTTGCACAGGATTTTGTTTTTGTCCCGAGTCAAACTTTAATCAAGTCAAGTCATTTTTATTTATAAAACACATTAAACACTGACAGCTAAATCAGCTGCAGCTGAGCAACAGATATGGATTGACACAAACATCGCTATTTATTTGATGTGATTGGAAATAATAATCTGTTTCTTTTCCCATCAGGTCACACGGCCAACTTTGAGTCGTCCTTTCAGGGTTCATCCTCAGATCCTGGTGGTATTGCTCTGGCGCTGTACTCTGCACTCTTTTCTTATTCAGGCTGGGACACCCTTAACTTTGTAACAGAAGAGATCAAAAACCCTGAGAGGTGATCTTTACTCCTCTGTAGCTTTTAATGCTTTATGTGTTGGCAGTAGCAAGTCAGAGGAGTGAAATCAGCCCTAAATCGATGAAACGTTGTTGTTTTAGGAACCTGCCCCTGGCGATTGCCATCTCCATGCCTATTGTCACAATCATCTACATCCTCACCAACGTGGCCTACTATGCTGTTCTGGATGTCAGTGCTATACGGGCCAGCAATGCTGTGGCAGTGGTAAGGAAATGAAATCCTGCTGGAATAAAGACCAGGAAAAGGCTGAGAGCATGTCGGTACAAAACTGTGTTCTGTTCAGACCTTTGCAGACCGAACTCTGGGTGTCATGAGCTGGACTATACCCATCGCTGTAGCTCTGTCCTGTTACGGAGGCCTGAATGCCTCCATTATAGCTGCATCCAGGTAGAACCAAAACATATTTTCAAATGTGTTTTAGTCCTATAATATCACTAAACTAGACAAGTACTTTGCAGAACACCCTGGTGTCTATTTCATTGCCTTGTTCTTGTTGTGTTAGGTTGTTTTTCGTAGGATCCCGGGAGGGTCACCTTCCTGACGCGCTGTCCATGATCCATATACAGAGATTCACCCCGATCCCTGCTCTGATCTTCAATGTATGAAGTAGTATCCATCACAAATAGATTCTCAAAAATCACTGCAGTTTCTTAAAGTCATTTTTATTGTGCAACTAAAGCAAAAACCTTCTGGGCTGTTCCAGTAACACAACAAAGGATTGTCTCATTTGTTGCTTTTTGATGTTATGGAAATACAACCCTTATTTTTATACTATTCTACCTTCCGCAAAACTTAGCTTTAAAAATTAAAGACCAAATAATTTCTCTACATTTTACATTTGAAAATAAGTAATTATTGTCCTCTCTGTTCAGTGCATCATGTCACTGATCTACCTGATGGTTGAAGATGTCTTCCAACTCATCAACTACTACAGTTTCAGCTACTGGTTCTTCATGGGCCTGTCTGTCGCCGGGCAGATCTACCTTCGCTGGAAGCAGCCGGACAGACCCAGACCTCTTAAGGTAACATAATCTGGTCATTTATCAACATCTGGCTCATTAGCAAAGACTGAATTGGATCAAAGGACAAACTGAGCCGAAGTGAATATTTTCAACACATCAAGCTGATGTCCCTGATGTCTCTTCCTGCAGCTGACCTTATTGTACCCGGTGGTGTTCTGCCTGTGTTCCGTTTTCCTCGTGGCAGTTCCTATGTACAGCGACACCGTCAACTCTCTGATCGGCATTGGCATCGCCCTGTCAGGGGTTCCTGTTTACTTCCTAGGTGTCTGTTTGCCAGAGTCCAAGAGACCACCTATCATCATCAAGCTGCTGCGTGAGTATACCCCTCACCCAGCTCCCCACACAAATTATTCTAGTAATGTGGTAATTTCTCTTAACAAGCTCGGGTAACGTGTTGTCTCTCGCTGCAGGCTCCCTGACATACTTCACCCAGTACACCTGCTTCTGTGTTCTGACAGAGACCAACAAAAGCCAGTAGCTTCTTCTACGTTTCAGAGCTTCAGTCAGGAGTATCCCACAAACCACACAAACAGTGAGGGGAAAGAGACAATAAAGTTCCTGGCAATGCTGTTGGACTTCACTCAACATTGAAAATGTTGCCAAAGGTTCACGCAAAATTATCCTGGGATTAAAAAGAAAGAATAAAAATATCCTGCACATACGCTCACTGCCAAAACAAGTGAAGCACCCAGAAGCAATTTATGGTCTGCTTTAGATGTAAAACAGTATGGAAACAAACAATTTGTATGGAAATTATTCAAATCGGAAGCAGCCGCCATGTCTAGAACAGGTTCAGGAAGGCAGCATTGCCAGCACTTGATGGAGTTTAATAGGGGTTTGCATGCAGGTGCTTCTTTCATGCACGTGGAGTGTAGATGTCAGAAAGAATTTGAGATCAATGAGAACACTCAGATGTGTTCTGTTCGCCAAAGACAGACTACACCAAAGAACACGTTACATTGTGCATGACATCAGCACCTGCCATCCAGACACAGGTACTGGAGTCCTTCCAACATTGTAACACACTGTGTCTCAACAACGATCAGCCCGACTACGGGTTCATTGTCCATAGGATGCCATTAAATGACTTTTGAGTGACACCATAACCGGTCAACACGGACTGATAAAGATTGGTGTTTCACTTTCAACAATAAATCACCACATGTGACCATTGTTTGCATGCATGGTAGTACTAAGAGAAAAGGACTGATCCTGCCACTGTAGCGGAGACACTCCTGCCATTAAGTTGTCTAAGGAGCTACAGGGTCTTACTTCAGGTCAACTATAGTACTGGCTCAGAGGAACCTGAAGGCATAGTGCAACTTCAGTGGCATCCTGTGTCTGCATGTCTTACCCTCCCGAGGCAGCACCCTGGTAACTTTTAACACGACAACACCCATCCACACATGGCAGGTGTTCATGAACTGCCTCATGATGAAGTCCTCTGATCCTTCCTGATTGAACATATGTGGAATAAGCTTGAATGTGACCCAGTGCAGATCTGCAGGATCTTGAGACCCAAACAAAAGAGAGGATTTAACAGTTTTATGTCTTTGCTGCACACCAAACTACCGTTCATATCGGGACCTGGGTTCGGACACCATGCTGATATGGGACCAGCAGTGCGCTGCCAATTCTATTATTTAATGTTCTAATCATTTTTACCACTTCATCTGGGTGCTTTACATTGTTTTGGTCAGTGAGTGATCAAACTTATCACACTATAAAATGACTACATCAGTATTTAAACATTCAGTTCAATAATACTTTATTAATCCCAGAGAGAAATTAAATGTTGCAACTCATCATCCTGGTTTCATTGAAGAGTTGCTATAGATGCTGATGGCTGTGGACAGGAAGGATCACTTGCCGTCTGTCTTACAGCGGATCTGAAGAACATGCACGTCTTTTAAAATCACCTGTCTATAAAATTTTACTGGTGCTTTTTCTGTACAGTAATCAGCTACATAAAAAAATATGCTTAGCCTAATTGTATGTGTTAACAGTGAGAAAAAAATGTTTTTCTTCTTCTTTTGGCTGCTCCCTTCTTCAGGGGTCACCACAGCAAACTAAGTCGCACGAAGACGTGGCAATTATTTTTACACTGGATGTCTTTCCTGACTCAACCAGACCACCGAGCTACCACAGCCCTGTGTGGAGCAGAGCTGCCAGAGCAGATGGTGGGGTTAAGGGCCTTGCTCAAGGGCGCAGTGGGGCAAATGAGGGTGGAGGCAGGTGTTTCACATATCCCACCCACATTTTGATGTTGACGTTTCCGGGAGTTGAACCAGCGATCTTCCAATCACACCACCTTCTCTAGCCTCTGTTCCACCACGCCCCTTGTTATATACACTATATTACTATGATCAAGTGGTATACGTCTTACCAAAGAACTCTGAGAAACTAGCAGCCGTTTACGCTAAAAAAAAAAATTGGTATTTTTGTCTAAACTTAATTTTTCACACACAGAGCTGGCTCAGTCTAGATCTATAACGTTGACAATTTAAAGAACATTTTCTTCATTTGTTGTATTGAAGGACCATTTTGTTTCTGAGCACTGTTCCAACTTTAATTCATCTTTTGAAATTATGAACTATGGTTATAAACACTATAAATATGTATTTCATTGCAAACACCATTTAAGACTTTAATGACAACTGAATTCTTAAGTTGCGTTGGAAGTTTATTTGGGAAATAAAAAAATATTCAAAAAGAAATTTAAAGGAAACCTTTTTGTAATATTGCAACCAATAACCCCGTAAATGATGTGGTTTGTTTTTTTGTTTAGCACATCTTGGTCTGTAAATAAACATAAAAATTGAAGGAAATGTGACCTGAGCTCTGTGCTTCAGGTGGTTTTCATCAACAGGTCACCTACAAGTTCCATTCATCCCTTATCTTGATCTGCGTTTTCCTTTCTGGGTCGCAGGGGTCACTTGTTTCCATATCCAGCAGTCTCTGTGTGAGGAGCGGGATACACCCTGGACAGGCTGCAAGTTACCGACCAAAAATAAAATCAGGTTATGGTAACTAGTACTTTTTAATTTTAACCAAACCAATTTGGTTATCACAAACAAAAAAGAAAAAAAAATCCAGACTCTCATATTTATTTGAAAGTTCGTTGTTTACACATCTACATATTTACAAAAAAATAAAATAAAATTTATCAAACATCCAAGAAACAATCTGAACTTCCAGAGGATTTCTGAAGCAAACTCAATCCCACAACAGAAATACACACACCACGCTTTCACATTATGCAATAAGAAAAAAAAAAAAAAAGTATAAATCTACCAGTTATTTGTAAGCACTACCATGCACAAAATGCAAACGTCCTAACTGCAAGCACACGTGTCCTGACAAACCTCACTAAACAAAAGGAGTTAACAGCATAAAGCGTACGAGGCATACCACACTAATAATGTGCAACGATTCTAACACGCATCCACTTTGATCAAACACCCAGTCACTCCACCACAGCTTCAAAATAAAACATATACAAGACAGACTCTGGATCCTTCTGGAAATAACACCCACTCCTTCACCGTCTGTATAGTGAAGAAACCGACTCATCAGGAAGCTTTATGAACCACCTGGCAAAGCTTTGGCACATCTTTTGAGTGTAAAGTACGATGAGTGCTACACAAGTTGCTCCACTGCTGTATGTATGCGTGTGTTTATATGATTGTAGCGGCGTTTTAGTTTAAATCTGCTCTCAACGACACAGAGGCTCTGAGAGTGAGGTGTTATTTGTGGACAGGCCACTGAGCAGGTGCAAAAAGGAACAGATTAATCGGAATCAGATTTGTCTGCGTCGTCGTCTTCCCCGCTGCAGCCCAGCTCGTGCAGCACTTCCCTCTGGTAGCGCTGCCAGCTCCTCCTGCTGTACGAGTGCTCCTCCTCCCAGTAACCTGGGGAGACAAAACTCATTACTGATAATTAAAATTGAACCTCTGGAAACATGATCTAAATAATGTTTCCACAACCTTTACAATAACAGCGCCACTTCTGCTGCTTCTTGCAGTACATAGTGTCCAGAATATACACGAAGCTCCAAACAAACATAACTCCATTAATAACAATAAAATTCTATAACCTAGTTTATAACTTTATAAAAATTAAAGGGCTACAATAATAGAAATTGGGACTTTTGCATGTTAGGAAAACACTAAACTTTTTCGTTTAACTTCTGATTAAATGAATTTAAATACTGAACAATACAAGTCGACTCCGATGCTCATCACTGACCACTCCCTTTCTCTTTTCTTTAAAATCCGTTTTAACGATCCAAAATCTTGGTTTTGGATCGTTAAAAGCAGCCAAGCTGAGAAGCTAAGCTAAGAGCTAAGCTAAGGCTGACCTCGGGGGCAATCCCCCCCGCGGTCTTGTCGAAGCTCCAAAATTCATGGGTGAAACCTGTACCTTCATCTAAAAAATTTGTTTTTCTCTGCAAAAAGAAGCTGAGAACTTGTTTACTGATTTTTTTAAATTAAAAGCTTTGTGTAAAAAATGCTATGCTAAAGAGCTCAAACCACATCGAGCATCCGCCATTTTGAGAACCAAAAAACAGGAGAGAGAGACAGCTCATGTCACGTCAGGGGACCTCCCTCCCATTTTTCGTAGAGACACGCTGCTTGCCCCCTCACTATCCATCCTTCAGTTTAAACAGTCTTACACTGCTTTCCAGTGGTCAAAAAAGGTACTAGACACAAAATTAACCAACATTTCTTCTTAAATTTGACAATTACTAAATAATTTGTCAAATTTCAAACAATATGATAGTTTATCGCAATAATTTGAGAAAATCGCCAAGCAAAATTTGTTATCGTGACAGGCCTATTTGCAAGTATCCCAATTTTAAATAATAAAGCACACAGTTCAGCACTGAGGCACAAACAACAGTCAGAGCTCGTCCCCCCACCCAAAGGTGCAGGGAAGCTACCCTCTCATCTACCAGGGAAAACTCCAACACACAGGCACCAAGTCGGGGGACTAACAGTAGACTCACACCAGCTCGGCGCCTCTCACCATGGGCACCTCAGGAGTGGAATAAGGGCCATTCCAGCTCAGAGAGATAGGATCCAAATTGAAATGAGCACATTTAAAAAAACGTTTATGCATTTGTAAAACTTGTGGTACACTTGTGGATATAACTGCAGTGTTTCCCGTACATCACTTGCCTTTTCCTTGGCAGGACGCTCGTCTCTTCCGTGATTGAGAGAGACGGTTCAGCGTGAGGGAATCGGAGCACTACCTCTAGCTTTTAGCTGGAGCGTCTGTATTGCGTGCTTAGGGCTGAGTACCGAACCGAGGTTCTTTTATGGCACCGACCAAACTGCACCGGTCGGTGTATGTATTGAAACGTCACTCTTCTTTCGGTGTCAAGTTTCGGTATTGGCTGTAACGTGTCACGTGGTTTCAGCATGCAGGCAGGCAAAACACCAGACATATGACAAACAGACTACACCCAGAGCTGTATAGAGCTGTCGTACCTAATCTATGTATAATTATGTCTATGATGCTGGTGATGCCCACAGACGGGTTCACGTGTGCAGCGCGTGTCGTCGAACGGCTTCGACAACACGCACTGCAGAAAGTTGCTACGTGTTTTTCTGCGAGGAGAGAAGAGTTCATTAGCCTCCCCCCTCCTCTCAGCATTAAAGTCAGCCTGTGAGTAGATATAGCATATTATATTATACTACATATAAACAATTACAGATGGCCCAAGCAGCAAAATCATGCTGCTTAATTAAAAAAACAAAATAAAACCCACAATGCCAAGTGTGAAAGACACTGCTTTGGGAATGAACTATATCTGCATATGACACATCTACAATACCATAAAACACGACATTGTGATTAAATATGATATTTATGCAACCGTAACAAATAATCATATGAAATTGAAAAAATAAATTAAAAACTAAACATACCTCCATATCGCTCCTCTCTGTCACTGTCTGCATCACTCTCCTCATCAGGGTAGTCATTTCTCCAGTTACGCTCTTCATTCTCATCATCCTCATCCTCGTAAATTTCCTCTTCATGAACGACGAGATCAGGAACCTGAGACAAACAGTAACATGTTCATTTTGATGTATTGCATTTACTAATTTATGGTAGGATTTAAAGTCCTTAGCTTTTGAACAGCACAGAATAAGAAAAAGCCACAAGGCTTGATGATCAATGAAAATAAACACACACACAAATAAAACAAAAACAATGACTGTCTTTACAATCCCGCAGGACTTTAAAATTAAAACATTTTAAATAGTCCTATAATGTAAAATGCTATTAGCCTAACGTAATATTCAGCCACTGCTTAGATTTTATTAAAATAAATAAAACCAAGACAGCAAAAAGGCAAAGTTCTCACTTTTTGTGTTGTATTTTTACCACTTCCCCCCAATTTCTTCATTCACTCACTCCGATTTCAGCACTCATTCATCTGTCCGTCCATCCATCCACACACACCAGTTCTCCCTCATCAGCGTAGACCCTGACAGACAGGATGTCCTGGATCCAGCCTGGTGTGACCGTTTCCTGGTAGTAAAGATCGTAGACGTAGTCGTCGTCCTGCTCCAGGTGCTCCGCCCCCAACTTCTCCCCAGATATGCTCAAACGCTCCCGAAGCATCTTGGTGTTGTTGCACAGAATCACTTCCGGGTCTGAAGGAAGCATCTTCAATAAAAGGGGACAAAAGAGGACAGATTAATGACCCCAAACGTTCTCCGTGTTAACACAGTCGACTGATGTTTCAGCATTTAAGGCCTCGTTACGTCAACATCATCAGAAACAACAAGACTGAAAGGAAACGTCTAAGAATTTTCACTCACAACAAGTTCCTCTGTGAGCTCGATGAGGAAGTAAACAACTAAACCTGATGTGTTCTACCTGACAAAACTGTACTGCAACTATTAAAAAGGCAAATTCCACTGGTGCTACTATTAATGCTGTTATTATTATTGTGGTTATTGTGAGACCATCATTCTGATTCTACCCTTCTTTCAATCAGCCTTTATTCTTAGGGCAGTGTCTCTACTGCTACAAGCAAGCTGCGCAGCCATGCTCTACACATTTAGATTTTGAATATCACTGCCTTTTCTTTTTGTGCACGACTTGCACATCTGAATTCTTGGCCACGTGCATCATTTGGCGTCCACCGTGATTTAGTTTGTATACACATTTATGACCGTCTCCACATTTTTGTTTAATTTGCTGAAGTACACTTTTGAAATGAAAATAGTGTGTTCTGGACTAGTTTATCCAAAAATCGCTCTGTAACATCTGTATAATTTTTAGACCTGGACATTTGCCTCAGATGTTTCCTCAAGCAGGTATCAAAGCTGTCTAGCTCTAGCGACGATGAAGATGAGGCAAACTTCAGGTGGGTTCAAGACAGGGTGGTGATGCCAGTGTCAACGCCGACTGTGTCCGAGAAAACCTGTCGTAGAATTTCTTTGAACATGTTCAAAACTCAAGGCATAGATAGGACTGTGCACCCTGCAACTCGTGATAAAACTGAGAACCTCAAGAAAGTGGCCAGACTGTCTGGAGCCTCCTCATGAATGGTGTTCAACAACTAGTCACAACACAGTGAGACATTTCACAGCAAAAATGACTGAATTTACCTTGCAAAGTTTGTCTTGGCCCTCTGCTTCCTCGTGGACGAGATCCACAACCTGGATTTCACCAGCGCCCCATTTATCCGTTGCTTTTTCGCTTTCTTCTCCAGCTTCGGAAGAATCTGTCTGTGGGATCTGCCGCTCAGCTGGCCTGGACAGTCCTGCGCGGTGGCTGGACAGTATTCTGTAGCGTTCCTCCCTCCGGGTGCTCCACTTTGTGTTCCTCAGGTCCCCGATGATCCGCTGTGAGCTGGCAGCAGGGGGTCGCAGAGCATGAGCCATGCGAGGCCGGGCCAGAGCCTGCCGAACCTGCGTCTGCACAGGAGCATCCTGGGAAAAAAAACTAAACTTCAGCAAGACAAACAACAAATCTAAATAATTGCTTTAGGTGTAGTTTTTTTTTTTTTTTTTTTTTTTATCATTTTGCTCATTCATCATGGAAACAATTTTTTTTTTTTGTGAGCAAAAATAAAAAATAAAAATCAGCTGACGTCAGTTTTAGATCAGGCTAACACCGAGTTAGCTTGTTAGCTACAATTAAACATGTACAAATTAAAAGTACATTTATTATTGAATGCGTTAACGATTTTGTCAATCAAATTAAATAATATAATTTTACTAGAAAGAACAAAAAAAACAAGTCAACGTCAACAAAATAAGCCAGTGTTAGCTGAACGCTAAGCTAATGTTAGCATTCGTGCTAACAACAGAGAAGGCTTTGTTATCGGAAGACAGCCGCCTCGTTCAGCTAAAACCAGCTTCCAAATAACCCACTTCACAAAATCGTTACGTGTGTTTATTCAATAACTTCACCTTACTTCCCCTTAAGCTGTCCCTTCCCTCCGCCGGCTGTGTTTGGTTGGCTAACTGTGTGCAGTCCCAGCGGAGGGGCCTCTCACCTGTGTCGCTACGGTCGCCACGAGTTTGAAGACAGAGTTCTCCACCTCGGCTTCACTGGGCTCCGGTACAGTTTCTCCGGAGCTCTGGGACGATTCGGGCCTAATCCGTTTGCACGCAAGTAACAAAGCGTCTGCAGGGTCGGTCCCCCTTTTTCTTTTGACTCGTAAAACGGTGGTGTTTGGATCCATGGCGGCCCCTGCTCCGTCTCGTCTACTCTGGTTTGTTGTCTGGCAGGTTGAGAGAGGAAACAAATGCGAGACTTGTCACTCCTCTTTAATTTCCGGCGACTGTTCTTCTTCTTCTTCGCTCAGTTTATTTTAGGACTTCAGGAAGCACAGCGTCACCTACTGTGCAAGCGTGTACAACGTCAGGTCACAAAGGTTTTATTGGTGGTTAGAGAAGGTGGGTCTGTGATCGAAAGATCGCTGGTTCAACTCCCGGCACCGACAACATCAAAATGTTCGTGAGATAGGTGAAGCACCCACACCTGACTCCACCCTCATTTGCCCCACTCTGGGCCCTTGAGCAAAGCCCTTAACACCCAACATCTGATCTCCCGGGTACCCTAGATGGCAGCTCTCTGCTCCACACAGAGGGCTGTGGTAGCTCGGTGGTCTGTGGTTGCGTCAGGAAGGACATCCAGCATAAAAACAATTGCCAAATCTTCGTGCGACAGTTTGCTTTGGCAACTTCTGAAGAAAAGAGACTGAAAGAGGAAAAAATAAAATAAAATCATGTCGATCAAAAACTATAAAAAAGCAACTGTTTGATTTTTTGGAGGAAAGGTGGCCGTTAAGTTTTAGACAATTGCCTGAGATACACTCATTTTATTTCAGCTAAAAATGCACATTAAATAATACAACAATTTTCAGTCATGTCATCTGGACAGTTTCAATTTTTGCTGAAACATTTCACCTTCCATCCGGAAGGCTTCATCAGTCAAGGAAACACACAACACAAAACTGATTCCCCCAAACAGCTTACTCCAAAGTGGAACAAACCAGTTATGTTGGTGCTAAGATGGTGTCTTTGGCAGACCCCTTCCTCTGGAGCCGGCCCTCTTCCTTGTCGACAGTCATGTCAAACTGGTTCAAAACCAACAAAGACCATGCTCAATAATCCAGGTATACACTCCAACAATTTTCAGTCAGGTCATCTGGACAGTTTCTTTTTTTGCTGAAACGTTTCACCTTCCATCCAGAAGGCTTCATCAGTCAAGGAAACACATTAAATGATCCTTTTGCAGTGCCAGACTGTTAAACTTTGTTCTAAAAAGGATCAACTTTAAGTTAGGTAGTAGAAACATTTTTTGTACTTTTTTTTTAGGTTATTTGAGCATAAATCTTAACACTTTGTATCAGATTATGCTAACTATGTTTTTTTTTTTTTTAATAAAAAAAAAGAATTATTTTTCATCAAGTTTGCTCTATTGGGATTTAAAGCAGATGGAGAATGTTCAGTACAGGTTAAGGAAAAACTCACTTAGGATGATAGTTATTTATTTGATAATTTATTTCCCATAGGGCGGTGATTGATCAGTGTTTGTATTACTCATAATTTGTACTGCTTTTACATCAAAGGAAAATAACTTGTTCTTTTTTTTTTTACTATTTTGTAATCGTTTTGTTGTTCTGTTTGCACTTAACAGTTTGTTTTAGTGCCATTTCTTCATGCTACTCACTCATTTTCAGTGTTGGGAATGTTACTTTTAAAAAGTAATTAATTATAGTTACTAGTTACTTCTCCCAAAAAGTAACTGAGTTAGTAACTGAATTACTCCCCTATAAAAGTAATTAGTTACCAGGGAAAGTAACTAAAGTAACTATTGTTTGTTTGTTTGGTTTAAGTTGAGATATATCTACGAATTTAAAGTAGAATTGCAAAGACAAGTACTTAACACAAAACTTTTAATACTTACTGCACCTCAACAGAACATGACTGGTTGACATACTATACTTCAAGTTTTTTCTTCATTACAAAAATACAGTTTAACAAAATAACATAACAATTGTGTTTTTAGCTTTATGTACACACTGTACTGTTCAAGTGTTTTCTTAGAAATAAAAGTAAATAGTTAAAATAAGTGTTTTAACTCTGTAGTGTAAAATAAAATCAAATCCTCACACAACTGGTTCTTCAAGTATTTTCTTAAAAACAAAATAACCATTTTAACAATACGAAGTACTTTTAAAACAGTACTGAAAATCTGAATTACCTGAACAAACCCAACATTAGCTACTAAACTATCCATGCATAGATGGATTCATTTATCCACTCAGTCAACCCAGTCATCTGCTGACCATCTTACCCCTTAAACCAGTGATTGTATCTTAGAAGTAGAAGCCTTTCAAACTTCTGGTCAGAAAGTCTGTTCCTCTTTGGAGTGAAGACAAGCTTCCCTAAGCTAAACAGTCTTTCCACAGGGGCACTAGATGGAGTGGCTGCATTGTATTTGAGTGAAATTTTCTTTACAAGTGGAAATCCATTAAGACTGTCCATCCCTTGTGCTCCTGATTTGAAATAATCAGCAACTTGGCTTTCAGCAGTAGCAGAGGTGTCATCCTCATCCTCAAAGGAGAAGAACTCATCCTCCATGGCTGACTCAGTGCATGCTGGTGTGATGGTAGTACCTGTTCGCTGGTCTTCATTTTGAGCACTTTTCCGGCACTCTGCTAGCAGACTTGCCTTGGCCTTGTCCTTCCTGTCCTGCATCCGCAGCCAACGTAGTTTAAACTTGGGCAGAGTCACAGCAGCCAAGACGGCATTCTCACTTTCCAGCACCTCTGCAAATCTTGTTTTGATAGCCTGCAATGATATACAAAGTAAATATTATACTGACTATCCATACACACACACACACAGCATTACACATTGTAAGTTTACAAATATATTTAATTTTACATTGTATCTTTTCATTATGTGTTTAAAAATATATATTAGTTCTTACTGTAACAATTGCCTCTGGAAGGTCAACGAGGATTTGCAGACCACTCTTCAGGTCCAGGGTCTTCAACATCAATGTCTCCAGTGTGGGTAGGAGTGTGCCATGGAAACAGTTGTCTTCTCCCTGAAGTATGTCTAAGGCTACTGTTAGTGGCTTCATTACCATACAGTATTCCTTGAGGAACTGATGCTCCCGTTCTGTGATGGCTTTCAAAACAAACTCGGAAGAGATGGTGTTCAGTGCAACTATAGGGATCTCACAGATGCGAGCAAGGGCATCATAAAACGAGTTCCATCTTGTACTGCAAGGGACTAGCAGCTTCCTTGCGATTACATCATCAACAGTCTCTGCAGCCACAGTTGAACGGCTAGCCTTGTTCCATAAAGCTGTGCATTTGGTTGTAGCACTCCTGTATATTGCTTTTGTTTCTGGTCTTGACAGTATCCACTTGTCAACATCAGTACATGAAACAAGGTTTAAAGTGTGTGATGCACATCTCTGATGTGGTGGCAAAGTAATTACATCATCATTATCATCATCACCAACACTGTTTTGCAAGACATCATTAATGTTCACAAATGTCACCTCATCTTCATCATCATCAGACTCATCATCCTCCACAGGCTGGTACTTCTTGAAGGCTTTGACAAAATTAGAGCCATTATCCGTGACAGTTGATGTTATTTTGTGGGTTATGCCATAGAATGAGTGAATGTTGTCAAGCTCAGTTGCAATACTGTCATGTGTATGACGACCTTTAAATCGTCTGCATGCCAGGGCTGCTTTTCTTCGTTCCATGCTTTGTGGATGTATCCAGTGGGCAGTTACGCCAAGATAACTTTTATTATGTGCAGTCCAAATGTCTGCAGTAGTAGAGACATATTCTAATTCTTCAAATCCAGTCTTCAGCTCGGCATTCATTTTAGCGTACTCAGCATCTATGTATTTAGAAAATGTCTTTCTGCATGGAGGACCGACGCCTGCTCTCCCCGGTATTTTGCCAATAAGGGTTCTGAATGAGTCTGAGTCAACTGTTGATAATGGGAGCATGTTTTCAACAACATACCTGCCTATCAATCGGTTTAGTTCATTCTGCGTCACAAGTTTCTGTGAAGCTGGAGCAAAAAAATCCACCTTTAACTGCTTGGACGGCGTAGCTCCGCGTTCTTCTTCGTTAGCAGAGCTCACGTTAGCCACACCTGGTCTGCTATCATCATCAGTACTGTCAACAGCAGTGTTTTTAGCCACGAGTTTTGTTGAACCATGTGCAGTTGTGAGATGCTTCATCAGATTAGAGTTGCTTACGACGGACGTAGACAAACACTTCGCTCCGGGACATAATGTACACTTCACACTCACGTTCTTGCCTTTTACCTCAAGGAGAGTAAAGTAGTGTCTGTATTTCCACTTTGAAAACGCCAGCTTTCCCTCCGGACTCGCCATTGCTGCAGGACTTCTGCTAACTTTTCAGATTTGGAGCTGCAGCGTGTGGTTTGCGAGTGAACTGAACAACAAAACCTCTGATTGGCTTACCTCTCTTTACCTGTTACTCTACCTTAGCCAATCATCATCATCCTTTATATGATTGTTTCACCCCTCCCTCCTACCCTCACCAAGGAAAAAAAGTAAACAAACAGCTTACGACAAAATAACGTACCCCATTTAGTGGTTGTAACGGTAACGGCGTTGTAACGATAGACATAGTAACGACTTAGAGTACCCGTTAATGAAAAAAATAACGCCGTTTGTAACGCCGTTTATTTGAACTCCGTTATTCCCATCACTGCTCATTTTCCATAATTAGGGGAGTCATTATTAAAAAAACATATTCTCATGTTTTGACTTAAATGCAGTGAGAATTACATGGAGAATTATTTAACCATTGATGAAAACCTAGTTTTACTGGCTGACATACACTACATGGCTACAAATAGCATTAAACAAACAGTAACCCAGAAGTCATTGCTCATGACTTAATGGATGCAGTGATTAAAACGGGGGGTTGCTCTGAAAGACTAAGAATAGATTTAAGGACTGAATATATTTTATGTTGTTGACATGACATTGCTCCTCACAGTTCCAGGAACTTGTCTTAAGCGCAGAGGTGACAGAGCCTTCTCTGTAGCAGGACCAAGACTCTGGAACGAGTTACCTCTGCTTGTCAGACAGGCCCCCTCCCTCTCGGTTTTCAAGTCCTGTTTAAAAACTCACTACTATTCAGTAGCTTTCAACACCAGATGATCTGTGTTTTGATCCTGTATGCTCCACACTGGTTTGTCGTCATTATCTGCATTGTTTTTATGTCTATATTCTGATTTACCTCATTTTGTATTTTGCTTCATGTGTTACCTGTTGTTCTGTCTGTACAGCACTTTGGTTGGCCTGGTCCCTGTTTTAAGTGCTCTATAAATAAAATGGTATGGTATGGTATGCAAATATTTTTGCATTATTCAAAAGGTCTTCCAGAAACAGACCATGTAACATATGGTACAAGAACTGAAAATTAGCTATTTGAAAAATAGTGAGTGAATCTGCTGTTGTTTTAGACACAAAACACTGAACACAAATGTGTTCCTTTGCAGGGGCTGTTAAATTAAATTGACCTTGGGGGTGCTTAGCCCTCAGTGCTGACAATGGCTCTTGGCTTGAACAACGTGGCCGCTGGCATCTGAAGCATTTATAATAATGTGTTGTGTCTTGTCATCATTGTATTTTCCCATACAATGGGGAAATGGGCTCTCTGCGTTAGGAACATCGCACCTGGGATACACTCAGGTGGAGCAGTGGGCAGCTATTGAAGGTGCTTATGCAGCAATGGGGGACTGGGTCCTGCTCAAAGACACCATGAGATGTGCAATGACTGGGGTTCGAGCCTCGGACTTTCGGGTCCGGAATCGGTTGCCCTGCCTCTACTCCCTCTTGGCCCCCTAAAAAGTGTGGGGGAGGGGGCACACTGGTGGGGGTCTGGGGGTCATCCTTCAGAAAATTTAGACTAAAGTAGATGCCATTTCCTGCATTCTGGTGTATTTTAAAGGTGTTTTTAAACATCTACACTTTATTCAATAACTATTTTAGAGAGCAGGACACAACAAGAATAGCGCTAACCTAGAGGTGTGCAATACAGATGCACTAGCTAAGATGCTACAGATGTAGCACTCCACTTTGTTCAACCCAACTCTATTTTTGTCTGGAGAAGCAGAAACTTAACGTGTTAATAAATTAGTCTCTGAGTAAATATATATATATATATATAATTTATTTATTTATTTTTAGTTTTTTAATTTGTTCCCTATGAGCTGACCAATGCTTCCTTAAAATTTTCTTCAAGACTGCAGGGACTCAAAGTTGCAACTGAGACTGACTTTTAAGGCATTTGTCTTTACTGGTCAATATTTACAGCTATGAACTGATGAAGACACAGTTGTTAGTTTATCTCCAGCAGCAGATCCATGGTGTCTTTCTGAAGACACAGATATAGTAGATCAGATGTAGGACAGGCCTATGAGCTGAGACATGACTGGCTGGGGAGATTGTCTTCAGTGGGTTGGTCAGACCCCAAAGATACAGGCACTCTGCTTCAACTGCAGCTTGAGAAGCTCCAAACACCTTCAGGGAAAACACCAGTCGGCCGTGTGTTTGTGCAGCAGAATGGGCTCCAGCAGCTCCAACATGAACAATATCCCAAACTCCTGGGAGCTGATGCAGGAAACAGGCTGTGAGTTCAGATCTTTTTTTTACTTGTTTGGTTCCTCTCTGGAAAAAAAATCCTAAAGAAAACAAAAAAAAGTTAGTAAAGCAGATCATGTTTTGAATTGTTTAAGGCTGCATATGCTTTATTTAAAGTTTAATATTTCTATGTGGAATTAAACAAAAATCTTGTCATAATAAGTTGAAATTCACATCTTTTGGTTTTATAAGAGTTGGAAACAAAGAGGCCATTTTAGTTACATTTTAAAAACCAATGTTAAAATATAATTTCACATACCACAAAATCTAAAATAATCATGTTGGTGCTTGGAGACTGTGGTGGGGATGACTCTCAACTACCACCACAGCCATTTCAACACCAATATATGCAAAATGACAGACTTACAGTTGTTTTGCTTGCTAAATTGTAAGTTGCATCTAATAAATATGTTCTGAGTTTTATTAACATCTGTCCAGTGGTTCATTAGAAATTCACAAACAAACAACCAAACAGGGTTGATCCCAACAACAATGAATGCAAATATTTTACTCATGTACTTAATATCTTGTGAATGACTCTCACCTACTACTACACCAAACATTAGCTCCATATCTGTGAACATGACTGAGTTACTGCCATCATTTTTTGTTTGTTTATTTGTTTTCTGTGACCTTCACTTAGCTGTATTAAACCATAAACAACCTCCAAATAGACTTCTAGACCAGCTTCGTGCTGGTCAATGTATTTACTGAGTTGTTAATGTTTAGTTTGTGACTCACATAGACTCACATTTGTGAGAAGATAGTAATAAAAGGTGTAATTTCTTTGTTGCAGTCTCACTAAACTGAATGTTTGTGATCCTCATGAACTCTGTTTGCTGGTCCCAGCCCAGTGAGGTCCCAGCCCAGTGAGGTCCCACCTTCATGTGTCTATAATCCATCACATGATGTCTGTGTTTCAGTCTCTGCTGCCCACCTCTTTCGTCTCCACGAGAGGTTTAAGTTTATGGACAAAGACAAGAAAGGACACCTCAGGTTGGTCATTAAAATAATGTTTAAAACACCTGGTAAGTTTTATTTCTGTACACTGGGTTGAGTCAAGATGAAGGAAAGCTTCATTGTGTTGCAAAATCCTCATATGAAACATGTCTTATTTTTTATTATAATTATTTTACTGGTTTGTTTTTACTCACCTGAAAGTTAAAATCTATTAACTTTACATGGATTCGTTATGCAACACCATCTGGGAAATGTTTAAGGATCTGAAACTCATCTTGCTCCCAAATATCTGGTCTAGATGAAGACGTCTTGTATAAAAAGACTGGATGTATTCACACCATCAAATATTTGTTCAGGCATTTGCTCCTCAGATGTATAAAGATGAAACATGCATAATTCTGTATCAAACCCTACAGTTTTTTCTTCCTTTTCTTTTAATGGCCAACGTTTTTGATTTAAACTCCCATTTACCCAAGAATGATGGAACCAACTCGGTTCTGGATGTGACCAAAAGAGGAGGATCCACACAGATTTGACTTGAAAATGGCCTTTTCCCCCCCAAAAAAAAATCTTTTTTTTTTTAATAGAAAAAAGTAAAACCATTATAAATTGTGAGAAAAGTACCACACAAAGATGGTTGTGTACATATGTATAAATGTCAAAACAAAACAAAACAATGACTAGAAAACTGTTTTGTGCCACACCTTTATTTTCTTTATACTTTTTGTTTAGCCATTTTTTTAACCCATGACCCTCTTGCTGAGGCAACAGTGCAAACCAAATATTTATAAACAGATTTTATAGATGCACATTTTTGTTTTAGAGCAGATTAGGACTAATTTTCTGTTTCTTTCTATTTGTGTCTCAGGCCAGAGGATTTTGAAGCCGTTCAGGAGTTATCCACCAACCCCATCGGAGACCGAATCATCAGCTCTTTTTTCTCTCCAGGGTACAGCATCATGCTGACCAGTTAGTGCAGGACAACACTGGAGCTTCATGCAGTCACACATGAACATTTCATTGACAGGAACTTATATTCATAAATGCAAACGCAAGAGTTGTCATTTGCTCTGACTCTCAGTCCAGCTGCTGTTTAAGAACAACTTTGTGTTTACCTGATAAAGGTCTCATCCTGAGATGTTGCAACGCTAAATGTTCAGAGTTTGTTTCACTGTTTGAGACAAATGTGTAAGATTATACATCCATCATTCTTAGTGTTTTGAATTATGATGATTTGAACTTTACAGCAGCAGTAAATGTAAAGTCATTTGAAAAAAAGAAACAGTTAAACTCTTATTTCCTTCTGCAGACAGGAAACAGTGGACTTTCCCTCCTTTGTTCGTGTTCTGGCTCACTTTCGTCCCACTGAGAAAAACCGGAGCAGAGATGACACTCAGCCGGAGCAGGCTAACAGCAGTATGGGGAAACTCAAATGTGAGTTCACATTTTTAATTTACAGCCGATTCATGACAGTTCATCCATTTTTCGGCCAGCTTACTAAATAAAATGGTAATTCAGAAACCGTCCATCTGTAGTTGCGTTCCAGCTGTACGATCAGGACAGAGATGGGAAGATTTCTAGAGAGGAGCTTCTTCAGGTCGGTAACTTATTCTCATTGTTAAGATTTTAATCTGTTTAGATCCGTATCTTGTAAGAGTTAAAAATAAACACAAACGAAGCAGTAAAATGTGCTTATGTTTCCTGCAAAACAGCTCACTGCTCGTCTTTCCATGTGTGTTAATGATACTTGCTAAACTGATTTAAAATATTGAGAAAGTTACAAAAAGAAATGATGAAAATTGAGACAGGAACATAAATTTTCTACTTTACCGTCCTGACCTGACTGTTGTTAATACTCCAGTTAGGATAAATGTTAAGTTTGGCAGTGGTGATGTTGGCATTGAAAAGAAAATATGAGAATCTCAGCAGCGTCAATCCGAAATGGAGCAATCCTGTCAACCATGAAGTCACACAGATCTGCTCAAAACAGCAAGTACTTCTGCTACCCGAGCATCACGAGCCACTTATAATATTGTCCTTCTTCTGTGTTCTCTAGGTTTTTAGATATTGCTTCATCAGGTCACATCAACAACAGAAACAGTTTGTTTTGTCATATAATTTTATTCAATGTAAAATAACAAGCACGACTCTGATTTAATCCTCAAATCAGACACTTCTGTTCTTCGAAAAGCCCGACGTCCTCAAAACATTTTAAAACAACAAGAAAACAGAAAGTCAAACTCACCACAGCGACGTTTTGCAGGAGAAAAAGCAACCCTGAGAAAAGATTAAAAAGCAAATGCTGGTTCTGTGTCTGAAGGTTCTGCGGGCGATGCTGGAGATGCAGGTGACGGAGGAGCAGCTGCAGAGCATGGCAGAGCGAGCCATCCAGGAGGCCGACTTGGACAAAGACAACGCTATTTCCTTTGATGAGTTCAGAAAGGTGAGATGGACAAAAAAAAAATCTCATTGTCACTTATTTTGTTAAACTTTTTTATCTTGTTATATCACAGGAATTCATAAAATATTAAACTTCCAGTAAGGATTTTTTTTTTCTCCAGAAATAAAAATGCTTTCAGAAGTTAACTTTTGAGTGAGGGATTAATTATAAATCAGCCGCTCATAAATCAACCTGAGACATTTGGACATCAGAATGAACAGTTGTTTGTAAAAATGCTGTGACAATATGTATTAGGCCTGGACAACAACAACAACAACAACAACAAAAAAAGCTCACCACCTGGATTTAACTAATCAAATGCTGCTTGGGTGATTCTGTTTCAGCCGGAAACAAGTTATTTAACCCCAACTGATGCAGTGAGTAGCTGCTTGTTTGTTAAATAACCATGTGGAAAGACATCCTGTGGTCATGGAAAAGACATTCATTTGTTTCAGAAGGGTCAAATTATTGTCACACATCAAGCAGAGAAAACATTTAAGGAGATAAAACTGGAAGGACAGTGTGGAGTGAGCAACATGGCCAAAAAGAGGCTGCTGAAGTGATGCACCCATCATGCATAGCGCCAACCATGCACCTGTGGGGTCAGTCTATGATCTGAGGCTGCTGCATAGTCTGGTCTAGATTGAACTTTATGTGTTCAATGAATGATGTCAGTTGATTACCTGAATATACAGCATGACCAGGTTATTCCATCAAAGATTTCTCTCTACCCTGACGGCAGCTGAAAGTCCCAGGCTCGATCCCTAGTCATTGCACATATTGTGGTGTATCTGAGCAGCACACCCTATCCCCAAATGCTCCCCGGGCGCTTTCAATAGCTGCCCACTGCACCACCTGGAGGTGGATGGGTTAAATGCAGAGAGCCAATTTTGCCATTGTATGGGGACATACAATGATGACAATACATTATTATTATTATGCCAAGGCCATGATCCATGATGACAACACCAGGATTCATAGGGCTCAAATTGTGAAAGTGGTTCACGGAGCACAATATATAATTTACACACATGGCTTGACGACCACAGAGTCCAGAGAACCCCACTGAGAATCTTTGAGATGTGCTGGAGAAGACTCTGTATAGTGATCTAAATCTCCCATCATCAATACACGATCTTGGTGAAAAATTCATACAACTCTGGACAGAACTAAATGTTGTGACTTTGCAGAAGATTGTGGCAACGATGACACAGTGAATGTGCGCTGCAATCAAAGCTAAAGGCCGTCCAACAAAATACAACAGTGTGTGACCTTTTTTTGGCTAGGCGGTATATTTAAATTATTATTTATTTATTAACCTTTATTTAACCAGGCAAATCCCATTGAGATCACAGATTTCTATTGCAAGGGCGGCCTGGGCCTGAAGGCAGCCAAACATGCTAATTGTTTAGTTAATTAAGAATAAAGCTGGTTCTGGGCAATAAATGCAAATGTTAGGTTCTCAAAATGGGAGTTTACAACTGAAATACCTAAGTGAAATATATTGAACCATTATCAAGTTTCAAATAAAATTTGGTAAAATATTTCTATCTAAAAGTTGCCAGTTTAAAGCAAAATTAACTCAGATTTTTTTCTTTTAACATTTCCTGCTTTTAAATTTTATTTTGTACCTTTTTCATTCCAGTAGTTGACAAATTTCAGAGGAAACATTTTTAAGTCAGTCCTATGAATAAAAAGGCCCCCAAACTCAAAGAATTAACCAGTTTTGTGTCAACATATATTAGACCACTTTGTTTGTCTGATGATCCTGTGAAAGACAACATCCTCTGAACTGGTGAACTGAGAAACAGATGATGAACAAACAGAAATTATGAAGACCTTTAAAAATCTTGGAAAATAATTGATCAAGATATAAACCATTATATAAACAGAAGGGTCTTATGTTGACCCTTCACACAACATGGTTTCAATAAAAATCAGATTTTCTTTTGGTTCCAGTCACTGGAGAAAGTGGACATCGATCACAAGATGAGTATTGGCTTCATGAAATGAAGACTCAAACAAGACGTTCTTTTATTTTCTGAGAAAACCAGACAAACGTTCAACCTGACATATGGAAGAAGACAAGAGGAAGAAAGCAGTCAGCTGATGATGCTGTTCCTGATTTCTAAACTAGTCTGATCTGCGGCTGCCTCAAGCTACAACCTCAGCGATTTAAAACAGTCTGAATGCTGATCACAGGACTGATGCAGTTTGATGATTGCCCAGAAAATTATTAATTGTGAAATTCATCCTTTCAAAAAGAGCAAAGTCAGTCCTCAACGTTTTACATCAAAAATATTTTAATTTATTGATAAAATGTCAAAATGTCTTGTTGAGTCACTACTGGAAATATATTATTTATTGATCTGTTTTCTGATACATTCAATATCATTTTACTATATTAATAACCCTTAAAATCCTTTGATTACTTTAAGTCATTGTAAACTGTCAGAATAATACAGTATTACAATGTTTGCATTTCCATATTGCTTTATTTTATTTATTATTTCTTTATTTTCTGCTGTGTGTACCTTATCTGTGGTTTGTCTAAAATAGGTCTCTCTTGAAAATGAGTTCTTGTGACTTATTAAAACTAAACTGTATAAATAAAGATTGAATGAATGGTTCCAGATCCAGGATCAGCTCTCTCTAAAACCCAGAATTAATTTTAAATATCCACTGTTGGAGATTGTATGTATAAATATTTCTTCTAAAGCAATAGTTCCTAGAGTCACTTTGTTCCAGTGATTTAATATCACTATCTAATGTTGAACACTCTGCTGGAGGTTACAAAAGGCAATAAAAGTGGAAAAATTTCCAGAGCTGGATTGCAGCTGCCTGAGGAACCAGGCAGTGATGGTGGTGCTCAGGTGGCTGAGTTATGATCCTCACATGTGACTGAAGCTTCTTCTCTCTAACAACTGGCCTTCACCCAACACACCTCTGTAATACCTGGTTTAAACTGTGCTGCTAATTTGAGTAAATGATTGACGGCTCATGTTCTGTGCCCTCTTTAGCACATATGCTCTAATAACTTCCTCTGTAGTGTCATAAGATGAGATCCAGCTTCAAGATCTGATCAATGGGGAATTACTGCTGGCACCCCGTGTCCAAGGCTCATTGCCAGATGATCGGAGTGATGATTGGAGTGAATGCCAAATCAAAACATTCTACTTTAAGAATGACTACGATGCTGTGACTGACAATAAAGACAGACTTTTATTAAGCTATTGAAAGTATCATCCATCCATCCATTTACCCGCTTCTTCCATTTTGGGTCACGGGGGTCGCCGGTGTCCATGTCCAGCAATCACTGTGCGAGGGACGGGGTACACCCTGGACGGATCACAAGTCCATCACAGGGACACAAAGAGACAAATGAGACAAACAAACATTCACTCTCTCACTCACACCTAGGGACAATTTAGAGTTACCAATCAGCCTAACATGTCTTTTTGGTCTGTGGGAGGAAACTGGAGTGAAAGTATCATTAAAATAAAAATATTTTATGGCTGGTGTCACAATCTGTGACCCAAAAGAATTTTATTTTGTCCAGATTGGTTTGAGCAAACACTACAAGTTGGACCAAAATGAAGTTTCAAGAAACGTCACTTCAGGTGGATTTAATATTTGTAAGCTACAGATGTCAGTTAGGATGGACCTGGATTAAACTCTGATGGTACAATTTAAACTTGAGCAAAATAAATAAAAAAAATACAGCATCCTAGAATTAAAACACAAATTTTGAACAAAAAAAATGTAATATAATATGTGACATGATAAATTAGATTGTCTTAGGTCGTTTTCACACCAGATAGTCCGGTAGACTCGGTTTGGTTCGGGACCAATATTCATGACATTTTGTTTACATTTGAGCTGGTGAGTTTGCATTCACACTGCACTGTGCAGTCGAGTCAACCTGTTGAACCAACCTATTCCCCCGCTCGCCTGTGGGGGCGCTGCACCAAGAACTACTGAAAGAAACGACACAAAAACCTCTGAAGACACGTCTTCTTCTTCTTCTTCTGTAAATAAAAATAAAAACGAAGTGGCATCAAGTTTTAGCAGTTTTAGGAGTTATATTTTGTCATTTTTCAAAAATGGACTTAGCTTGAGCAGAAGATGAGACAGAAGACCATGGAGAATATTGTTTTTTCACACAAGGCAGCTGACGGCTCCATATAAGGTCAGAGAAATGCGTGTTTGTTTACCCTGCGGAGCGGGGCTCGGTCTGTTTACATTCACACTGTACTCGAACCGCTCTGGAGTTCGCTTCTACCGGACCGAGACCTAGGTTTTAACCCGGGCCAGAGTTCGCCTTTTTGTTCCATGACAGAGTTCGATGGCGCGTTCACACCTCCCTAAACGAACCGGACTTTCTAGGAAAACGAGCTAGAGTTCGATTAAAGCGGACTAAACAGGGCTGGTGTGAATGCATCGTTAAAAACAAAAAGAAAACAAAAAACAAACAAAAATAATTCTACTATGACTGCTTCCTAAATAATTTTACATAATGTTAAATCTATGTTTAGTTGAAATGATTACAGGATGTGTCCTGTCGCTACGATTGTAGCGGGAACTGGACCCAGATGCAGACAGACACAAGAAGCTCAAAATAAAGAAAATGTATTTATTTAATAAATGAAAACAAACAAACAAAAAATCTGACATGGAAGCAACAACTTATAAAAATACATGGGATCATGAGAGGGAGGACCATGACATGTGTCAGGAAACCAAACAATGAACCGATGGTGACGTGGAGACAAGAGACCCTTTAAATAGGACAGAGGGTGAGTGGAAAGTGGCAGCACGAGTGATTATAGACTAAGATCAGGTGTGAGTGGCAGGCTGACTGAACACAGAGCTGGCTGAGGGCAGAATGGACATGACACTGCAAAGACTGAAACATGGACCACACAAGGAGTGATCTTAATATAAAGAAACACAAATGGATAAGAATGTAAACTAACAGGGAACATAAAAATAACAGACGCTCACCAACAAAATATCTCAAAGAACCCAACAAATAAACTCAAAGAATCACTGAATAATCAAAACAAAAACACACAGATACGACAGGCTGAGGTTTTAAAGTAAGGCATTCTAATTTGCAGAGAAATATGTGTCTCCATTAAAGTCGTAATCCCATCTTTATTCTCACCCATGACTTGACCATAACACTCAAATCTGCTCTGATAGTTTGTCGTCATTTAATGTCATAGCATGTACTTTGGCATACACCTGATCATTTATGAATCCGTTTTTTCTACAACAATTTGGTCCTGCGGGAGCAGGTTCCCTCGTGTGATCATTTGAACCTCGGGTCAGACGTCTGATCAACCTTGAATGGAAAAATGTCCAGCCCTCAGCCTCGATCGTAGATTTGCAGAGAGAAGAGTAGCAGAGTTGATCGCATGGGTTCGTGATTGCCACCGCTGGGATACAATGGACTTTGATTCCAAATCGATCAGGTGAGACTTCATTCAAACAAAATAATGGATTTAACAATTAAGGGGTAAGGTCTTACTACGGAGCTAACGGGATTCAGTGTGAGTTGGCTGGTTCTGTACCAGACGGAGGCCTCTGGTTGCTCAGGGTTAAAACACCCAGGGCCTCATGTACAAAGACTTGCGTGGATTTCCAACTGAAACTTGGCATTGGTTGAAATTGAGGAAACAGAATACGCACACATAAATCCAGATGAATGAAAGTGTGCGTATGCATGAATCTAAGTACACTTCCTTTGTACATCCCAATCAACATGGAATTGAGCACAGATGAGGGAATACCCGAGTCCTCCCTTGACACGTCTCCATTTAAATATGCAAATATATGTAAAAAAAAAATCATGTCTCCACACAAGAAAAAGAGGAACTTTATGGAATGTGAGTTGAAGATGCTTCTAAATGAGGTAGCAGTGGGTAAAAACATTGTGTTTGGCATGCTGTCATCTGGCATTTGTGCCAAGTGCAAGAGGAGTGAGTGGGACAATATATGCAAAGCTATAAATGCTGTGGGGTCAAAGCATCTCACACCCACAGAAATTATGAAAAAAAAAACCACTCCTGTTGCTAGGAACCCCAGTGTGGTCAGCAGCTGTATGTGTACGGGCAGTGCATGGCTCCTCGGTGTGTCACACTCCAAGACCAGCTCCAAGCACAGTTCCAAAATGGTTGCCCTTGGAAGCCTAAAAAGGCTGATGAGCCAGTCGTCAAAGTGCGCCAGGTTTGTGCTGTTTTAACATGATTTAACTTTGATCTATCTTAACAATCTTTAGACTTTGGGGCTTTTGACACAGTTTATCAGTGATTGATGAGCAATAACGAAAGTAAAACCCTTTTTTAAGACACACAATTGACTAATTTACACAAAATTTCCCAGATTACAGCAAAACCTTTGCTGTGAACTTGTTGGAGGTTTTATATTTCAACGCTATCCTGCACAACCAAAACTGTCTTACAGTATAAAGACTTCAGATATGGCACACCAGCTTTTTTAAATAATCTTTTTCTTTAATTAAATTCAGTTGAAATAAAAAAAAAAAAGTTTCTGCTCAACGATCTCTCAAAATCTAAACTATACAAACAATAAATACTTCAGGAGAATAAATTATTTCTAGCTCATGATTTTTATAGAAAAGTTTCAGAAAAAGGAAATAGCAAACAGTATTATCAGACATATACCGTGCTTAAGTTTGTTTAAAAGGAAACAAATCTAGTTTGAAGGTCAGTCAATACCTAATATAGGCAATGCATTTTTCTTTCTCACAGTTATCAGTTATCAACAACTGGTTGTCATCATTTTCTGGGTCGACGAGTCTCTGTCTGATGATGAGTTTTGCTCTTTTTGAGACTTGCAGGACAAAGCCACAGACCATAGAAACATGAAAAAACCTGAGAATAGAAAACACACACTGAATATCTCAAGTAGGTCATAATGGTTTAATGCATACCATTTTGTGGTCACGCAGACTGACCTTGCAGGGAGTTGAATATTGTGAACACGTAGATCCCAGCTAAAGTAATGTATGTGACGCTAGCTAATCCCCACGGTAAGCCCAGCACACAGCTGAGGCCCAGAACTGTGGCACAGTCCTTCCACAACCTGGTCCATTTTTCCTTTGTCATCTTCTTCCAGTTGCTGCTGCATTCATATCCTTCTCTACCACCTCTTATCCTCCAGAGCTTAAACACAACCAGCGCCAGCATGCAGGAATTATACAGTACCACGAGGCAAAGGAAGCTCACTGTAATGTAGCTGACCAAATGCCTGTACTGGAACTCACTGCTCAACCAGCATCTGCTCAGAATTGAGAAACAAAGAATCATAAATGATAGTCAGGTCTGCTATATTTGGATTTTAAATATGTTGGGCATTTATGGGGAGTATGTAAACTAGACATTTTCAAAATGTTACCGTATAGTCACAGAAACAATCTAGCCATTTTTTCTCAGTCAAATCTAGAATTTTCAAAATGGCTGCCATAAATAAAGCAATTCATAATTTATTGTTTTTTGCATAAACCAGAGCTTTGATTATGATCGTATTATTTATTTTGACAAGTATTATTCTGATTAAAGATAAGATGGCCGTGCTTATAGCAGCAGCTTCGTGCACTCCGTCCATCTTCCGGACGACTGTACGTACATGTTCTCGTCGTATCTCCATGCAAGGATAATAAAAAAGCTTATTCTGATTTCTTTATTTGATTGCCTGAGATAGTCATAAAACAGGTCCATTATTATCTGACTCTTCAACACAATTCACAAGGTCTCAAACAAGTTCACTCCAAGTCACAAGGTAGCCCTGGTTGATGAGATCATTCTTGTGCAGAAGACGAGAAAAAACCCCAACTACTGTAGAGACAAGTGAAGTTCACAGTAAATGCTTCAGTGACAGACTGATGTCCTTCACACAGAAATATGATTGTTTTTCTCACATTTAACAGGGTTAGGGATAACTTCTGAAGAGTGCTACCAGGATGTAAATGAGTCCCCGAGGCTCAATGGCATTAGCCTGTATAAATAAAGGTTGAATGAATAAGAAAGACAAAGGAGAGCCTCAGTCCATTATCAGCTCAGAAATGGAACAAACATCAAACACATCCCATTGACTGAGCTGATCAAATACAAAACCTCTAGTGCACAACAGTACGTCGCCCAAACCTCCACAAATTTTTTTGGGGAAATTTTCTTGTTAATTCTGCTAACTAACCAACTTGTCATCAGCGGTTCCAGTTCAAGGAGACACTGGCTTTAGGTGCTAGTATTACATGTTTTGGTCAGACAACACTGTTTTTTTTAATGGGCAAAGGAAACCTGGCTGCAAGTGTACAAGAAGGCAGACCGATACCATCAGTTCTCTGCAGATGCTTTCAACAGAGGCAGAAGTGAAAGAAGATATACTGATTGCTTGCTCTAGTTATATTTGTGTATCCTGCTCTCTACAAGGCAAATGTGCTTCCAGCTCTAAACATCATCACTGAGATGGTTTGACTTCACTGCAAAACAGGTACTTCTTGTCAGATATTCCTGCAGATCAAAAAGCTTAGCCTGTACTGATCGCTGTCAAGGCGGCGCTGAGTATGAACATGACGAGCATTCACAGGGTGTCAAACGTGACAGTGACGATGATGACTGTGATGACAACTAAGCTTACGGTATTTCTGTCGGACAGTTTAATAAAACTTGTCTTTTACCAACCTCTTTCAGTGTGGCACTAAGTGAAAGCACCATGGGGACAAAATATGTCATGCCTGAGAGTAACAACGACCATGATAACCAAGTTTAGATTGTAAAAAAAAAAAAGAAGAGAGTTTTTGGGTGGTCAAATCGTACTTATTCATTTTTTTTAATATAAATGGATTTCTTGACCCTGAAAATGGTGGTTTTGCTGTTAAAATCAAAGCTCCGGGTTACTGAGAAGACAAGATATTGATAAAAAACATTTTTTTCAGACTGCTGTTGTGTTAAAAAAAAAAAACAACAACAATATGGCAGCCATATAGATATCTCAGGGCAAACAGATACAATGTTGTTCTAAATTATTTAAAGGAAAAAGATTTCTGAACAGTTTTCTCCGGGTACTCCGGTTTCCTCCCACAGACCAAAAACATGCATGTTAGGCTGATTGGTAACTCTGAATTGTCCCTAGGTGTGAGTGAGAGAGTGAATGGTTGTTTGTCTCGTTTGTCTCTATGTGTCACTGTGATGGACTTGCGACCCGTCCAGGGTGTACCCTGCCCCTCGCACAGTGATTGCTGGACATGGGCACCGGCAACCCCCGTGACCCAAAATGGAATAAATGGGTAAAGAAAATGGATGGATGGATGGATTTCTGAACATATATAGTTCTCATACTCCCCACAAAAATCAGTGATACAGTGACAACTTCAAATATGTTCTTTAAATTTCAAAGAACTTTTGTCTCCACATGTAAAACTGCGATAGTTTCTTACATTTGTGTTGTTATGTTGGAATTTCTTAGTTTCAGACTATATTTGCCATAAGCACCTGAAATTCCACAAATTATGGCAACCAGGGAAGGAAGACCTGGTGAAAATAAAAACAGTTAAATCAGTGCATCCAAGTAGAAGAATACTTTTAAAACAAACTGGAAATCACTTGATAAATTATTGCATATCTGGAACGATTTAGTCAATGACCTCAAGCTTCTCTTACATATTGCACGGCAAGGAAAACAACTAAATATCTTTAACAACAAATGTTTGTATAAATATAATTATTGACTTCATTTGACATAAATACATATCCATGAACATTAGAACTCACCCCATCCCACAATACCGAGTTTGAGCAGGTATCTTCGCACATAAATGTTGAAGACTCGAACAAGGAGTAGGTAAAGATGGAATCCTTCCAGAGCTACCCAGGTGAAGGTGGCCACTAGAGACCAGTGTAAAAACAGACCCAGACCATAGCAAACCCAGCTGTTGTCCATCCCGTTTGGAAGCTGAACCCAGAAACTGCAGGCCAGGAAACCCAGGTGGAGGCAGAACAACGCTACTGTTAGTTGTATGTGCACGCCGTTGGCCTTCTCAGGACGTCTCCGACTGTTAAAGAAATGTCAGGATCGTTGGTTCAAAAATTATACAATGACATAGAAGTTTACATAACATTTTGTTATTTGTGTCACAACTCTGAAACGTTGTTCCTGAATAAAATTAGAAGTTGGAAATGCACTGCAATGGTAGAAATGAGTCTATGAGTGTGTTTATACACGACTATGAGTCTGTATGTGTGCTCTATCCTGTGTTAAAGTGATTTGAATCTTACGATGTATTTGAGGACCAGCTACTGACACAAGAAGCCATCAAGATCTGTCAGATAATGACCTCAACCTCATAGCAGAAAATATATTTGTTTCACACATTGTGCATCAAATAGGTTTGATGAAAGATAATACATCTGGTGTATATGTTCACGTCACCTCTGGGAGCCTTGAATAAGCGTGCACATTTGATCAAAAAATAGATATTTATATAGTATGAGCACAATTTTTTATCAAAGTATGTCACAGAGTTAGACCAAATGGCATATACAGTATGCTTTTGCCTTGCCAGGAAATACTGTGGTTATGCATCATTCCGTGAACCATATAAGCCAGGGCTATTCAACTGGCAGCCTGCAGGCCACTTCCTGCCCGTGGGTGACTTCAGACCGGCCCACCAATAAATTCATTAAAAAAATAAAAAACATGCAGAAGGACGCATGAAGTGCTCTAAATGTCCTGGTAGATGCTGCATTGACTATGGAATTCAGAAAACTCAGTGGAACAGCACCAGCAGAGGACATGGATCCAAACTATCACCAACTGTGGAAACTTCACTCTGGACTTCAAGCAACATGGATTCTGGACCTCTCCAATATTCCTCCAGACTCTGGGACCTTGATTTCCAAATGACATGAAAATGTACTTTAATCTAGAGCTGTCATTTCTAACCCGAGCCTTAAGCCCGACCCCACCTGACCTAAATTTGGGGCAGGCCGGGCCATGATATTGTGCTGGATGGGCGGGCCGGGTTGGTGTCGGGCTTTTGATTGGGTCAGGATCAGTCACAATCCAATTATATGATAAGATGGCCTGCCATACATTCACCGGCCTCATGCGAGTTGTCTGTCATCTTCGACAGGAACAGTGTCAGCTAGTTGTGCAGCAGTCACAGGTGCCTGAGTCTGGCCAATTATTATATATTATTAGCGTATATAGCGTCTGTAGCTGTAAACATCTGTAGCTGTTAACCTCTGTAGTTGTTAGCGTTTGTACTTGTTATTATATATGTTATTATTATGTTATATTATATCTATATTTCACCGCGAGCTGACCGGACTTGAAAGAGGTAAAACGTTCAGCTAAGCTTCCGATGGGACTGTACTGCCAGGCAGCGATCCATCGCCCAAATGGACGTTCATTCAGCCGCTGCACTCAGTGGACGCGCACGGCCAACCACCCAAACAAGTGAGATCTCAAAGCAGACGTGTCAAAGCAGGGTCCGTGTCTGAATAATGCAGAATGCAGGCAGAAACAGGGTTTAAATGCTCTTTTACGATCATGAAAGCACAAACACCCCCTCAGCTCTGATCTTCTGCCCCTTTTATCCAGCTGCACATCCCTGACCGGTAATAATTAATTAAAAATTTAGTTTTTTGTTTATTTTTCCAAGTTTGGACCTGTAATTATTGTTAATTCTTCGGGTCGGGTGGGGTTCGGAAATTATGACTGTGGGCTGGGGCCGGGTCGGATTGAATATTTTGGGCCCAAATGCAACTCTACTTTCATCTGAAAATAGGACATTGGACCACTGAGTAACAGTCCCGTAGTTCTTCTCCTCATCCCAGGTAAGACTCTTATGACGCTGTCACTGGTTCTGGAGTGGTTGGACTTGAGGAATGTGACATTTGTAACTCATGTCTAGGAGTTAATCAGCTGATTAGCATGTGACACCAGGAGTTTACAATACTGAACCTAATCACAATATTCTAATTATCTGAGACAATGAGTTTTGGTGTTTCATTATTTGTAAAACATAATCATCAAAATGACAAGAAATAAAGGGTTCACTCGATGTGTAATGAATATTTGTAATACATGAGTTTCACTTTATGAAATGGTTGACACAGTCCCAGCAGTGAGAGGATCTGTGGGTTGTGTTTTGTGGTCATTGTGTTTTCCTGCCCACCCCAGTGTTCTCCCTCCTTGTTGTCAACTCCTGTCTCAAATTCTAAGCACCCCAGGTATTTGTAATTATTTCCTCATTAGTTGTCACTATATACTCTGCGTCTCTTTGTTGTTCCCCTGTCCATGGATTGTCCTCTCAAGGTGTCATGCTCTGTTTTCCTCCATGTCTTTTGTTCATAACCCACATAAGTTTTTGATGCCACACCAGCCTTTTTATTTAATAAATATTATTGTATCCTTTGAGTTCCCCACGTCAGTCTGCACTTTGGGTTTAACAAAACACCAGAGAATCATGGTAATCAGTGTGAAAACAAAAATAAAATGTGGTCTGTTAACACCCGTTTCACTTCACTAATCAAAAAATACCCAAATGATGAAATGAGTCAAACCTTTAGCAAGACTACCATGACGCTAACAACGTCTGACATGTCTTTTTTTCAGAGTGTATTTTAAGATGTTTTTACCTTCTATAAGAATTTGTAAAAGAAATAAATGAATACATACATACAGTGCTTACTTTGAGCCAGATCCTGCCAGAACAGGATCCAGGAACTCCCTTATTTTGACAGGGCAGTTTCTGGTAACTGTTTGCTCGGATCTGGTAACTCTCAGGCTTACTAATAATAAAGTTATGAACAAATATGACTGCCTTGAACAAATTAAACTTATATTGGCTATGTAAACTGAAAATAATTACACAAACATTAATTTTAAACACAACAGCCACTTACAAACATACAATCTACCCCTTCAAGTAGCATTTCCACTTCTACCCTTAAAAAAAATCTCCTCTCCTAAGAGTGGTGGGGGTGAGTGCCAAGCTAACCAGGTAGTCCTACGCAGGCAGGAGCCCACTTGTGCCTGGAGGTTTCACATGTGGAGTCAGACAACAACGAGCAGGGACAGTGTTGGACTCGGAATAATTGGGGGGGCGGCAGGATGCTTGACACAAGTGGAGTGTTTAGGTAAACGTAGATGTTTAACAACCAATTAAAATACACCAAAATGCAGGAAATCACATTTACTGTATTCCACATTTTCTGTAGGAGGAGCCCCAGACACCCCCCCCCCCCCCC